GGATATGTTGTAGCATCGGTTCTCCCTTCCGGAATCCGACATGCCATTTCATCGGTGAAAAATCGAAGAGCACCAGGTCCGGAAAGGATAAGACCAGAATACCTGAAGAACCTCTCGCCAGTCCTCGTAAACAGAATAGCTAGGCTCTTAACAAGTTACCTGTCTGAACGCAGGGTTCCTATTCAATGGAAGACCAGGAAGACCGTGTTATTGTTCAAGAAGGCTTCACGATATCGGCAACTATCGCCAATCTGCTTACTGTTTGTCGTCTACAACCTTTTCACTCGAATCGTCCTAAACAGGGTTTACAAAACACTGGACGAAGGACAGCCATGTGAGCAAGCAAAGTTTCGAAAAAGATTTAATACTATGAACCACATCCACATGATAACAAGGCTCATTGAGGTGTCGCGAGATTACAAAAGACCGCTCTGTCTCACTTTCATCGATTTACAGAAGGCCTTTGATTCAGTTGAGATAGAAGCGGTCTTGGAAGCCTTTAACAGTCAAGTGGTTTCTACTCAGTACATAAAGATTCTACCTGAGCTGTACAAAGCCTCACAACCAAGTTATCACCATTCTACAACGACATTAACCTTGACGTCAAACCAGGAGTTAGGTAAGGCGATGCTATCTCGCCAAAATTATTTACCGCCACCCTCCAGAACGTCACGAGAACATTGGAATGCGATAATACGGAGTGAAAATCGTTGGTCGGCAGTTACATCACCTTCGCTTTGCTGATGACATCGTCCTTATAACATCAAATATTAGCCAAGCGGAGCGTATGCTTGACGACTTTGATAAAGCCTGTGGAAAGATTGGTCTCCGACTAAACCTCACAAGAATGATGTTCATGAAGAACGGATTGGTTTCGCATGCCCCATTCACGCTTAACGGAACGAATATCTCCAAATGCTCCAGTTATATCAAATTTAGGTCGGGAAATCAATATGACGAACGACCTAGCTCCAGAGCCGAACAAAAGGAAACGAGGAGCTTGGGAAGTTTTCAAGAGCATCGAGGATGTAGTAAAGAGAACAAAGAACACCCGACTACGTGCCCACCTTTTCGACTCAACGGTACGTCGCGCCCTAACTTATGCGTCAGAAACCTGGTCGCAGTGTAAGCAGTTTGAAGGGTCACTCAGCGTTATCGAACGCGCACTCGGAAGGACGATGCTAGGAGTATCCCGTTCCATACAAGCAAGGGATCGGATCCGAAGCTCCGATCTGCCTCAACGATCAAAAATCAGATATGCTGTTCTGTACGCCAAATAGTCGAAGATTGGGTGGGGCGGACACGTAATGCGTATGAATGGCAACCGATGGACAAGAGCCGTTAATGACTGGATTCCTCGGGATGTCGAACGTACGGGATGGAAGACCACCGATTCGATGGTCAGAGTTCTTCACGAAGAGCCTAGAAGAAAGATATGATGCTCAACGAGTCCCCAGAGCGAGCAGGACCCACTGGGTACTCTTGCACGCGACACGGAAAAAAAGGAAGATTTACTGGCGCCGCTCGAGTCACTCGACAATCAACGGGACTACAGGCAATGCAGGTGATGGAATTTGTTCATTTGCTGCAATAAGTTCGCTTTAAACACATGGTGTGGTCAGTTCTCATAGAAATATCAAAATCCTCGAACAAGAAAGCGACACTACTATAGTGTTCCAAGGTGATCATCATGAGTGGTAAATGACTCCCGTGAATTGGTTTCCTTCCGGAAAATCACTGGAGTGATCTCACAACATAGTTACCGTATGTTCTGTGGCTGAATTCTGTGCGCCTCATAAATTTGAATCATAGGGAATGCATTCTAATGTGTTTAATAATAACAAACTTCTTTGGAATTGTGACAGAGCCACTGCCCCGAACTAATTAGTTTCTATTAGCTCAGCAATTCTGTTAAATCAACTCGTCGTTTACTCTAGAAAAGAATAAAACGATACAGCTCTCGGCGTTGATCAATCCCTGAGGGATGCGCCATGCATTCGACTTCATTAAGTATCGTTGGAGGTGATTGAATGCATATCTGGCCTTTACAATCACTCGCGGTCGCCTACCGTTGTATCGAGCCAGTGCTGATGATATCCTCTCAGACAAGTCTGATACCAATTTGCCAACCCTCGAGGGATGGAAGGCTGGTGGGCCATGGGCGCGAAGATCGATTCCGCGTGTATCGCAGTGACGCCTCCAGCAACTGCGCCACACGCGCCCTTGTTAGGTTCTAAGCCTCCGAAATTTTTATTCAGCGAAAAAAGCACTGGGAGTTCTAGAAAAAGCAAGATCGTACATTACGCGAAGGGTAGAAAAACTTCACAGTCAATTATGTAGGGCATACAGCATTCAGTTTTCAATCAGAAACTCATTGTTATCTATTTTGGCAACATTATCATAAGTCGCTGATGGCGTGCGGAGTGTTATCAATATCGCCTCAATGAAGAAATCAGGAAGTAAAGCAACTTTACTAACAGAAAACAAAACCAAACGCCGACAGCAATCCCGTTGTAAGATTAGTGACTGAAACACACTGTGGTACGGAGTATGTAGCATGTATATTTAAAAAATGAGCCAAACTCACTTCAAGTAATAAGAATATGGGGGTCAAAACCCCAAAACTATCTTAATTTGGCGAAAAAAATATGGTTCACCAGTGAAGGTTAACCTGGTGGTGACTATTGATTGGCATCGCGATGACGCACGGACAAGTTTCGCTGTTTTGGGCAGGAGACTATAGGTTATTCGAAATTTATCGTAATGTGGAATTTGCAATCTAATTTTTTCCGTATATATTTAGTAGTAGGTGCGTGTGCAGAGCAGTAGTCGGAGGTGCCTTGCAACACACGCGTAGAATCGATCCTCGCACTTAGTGAAGATGAATGCATGGTGCATCCCTCAGCGATTTATCAACGCTAACAGCTTTATCCTTCCAATGTTGTATTATTAAGTACAATAGCAAATGCCATTTTATGAAGTTTTGTTCGGTATAATTCTTTGAAAAATTCTAAAGACTAGGATTCCAGCTACTGAGAAATTTCGACAGGTCTACGTTTACAAAATCAAATTCGCTCGCAGTGAACCGCATACGGCTCGAAACAGTAACGAGGCATGGGACCAAAAAAGTCCTAACGAACGAACAGTGCAACGTTGGTGTTAAAGATTTCGTCGTGGTGAATTCAACTGCGAAGTTGAGGGAGGTCGCTAACGTCCGTCTGCCATTAACGACTACGAATTTAGGGCTATGCTGGAAGCAAATACATGCATAATTGTTGCACGTTTGCAGAAGGGCTCTGTCTAAATATCTAAACTGTTTTAAAGCATTTGAAGAACATTACAATGTCGAAGAACCTGACAAGTGGTTGCTGCACGAACTCAGGAACATTTATAGAAGTTGCCATTTTGATTTATCCACGGGGCTTCTTCTGAGCAACCAAAACGACTCGTTTCTCTATCGTACTGAGGCTACGAAACTCTGCTTATTTCACCATACCAGCCAGACCTCTAGCCTTACTATTTCTTCAAAATTTCGACAACTTCTTGAGCGGGAAATACTTCGGAAACGAAGCTGGGCTCGAAATTGCCTTCAGCGACTTCATCGCCCCTAAAATGCAGTAATCTATGCAACCAATATAAGCGAACTTCTTTCTAGTCGCCAAAAATGTACAAACGCTAACGACTTCTATTCCAACTAGTAAAGTCTACTCTGAATTGCAATATGCCATTTTGAAAATATGGGTTCCAGTCCAACATTATTTGCTGAACTGCCTAATATAAATATTGCAATGTAGAACAAGCCAATATATGAATAATGATGAAATCAAGCACCATTTATAACCCTTCCATTAGCGCATAACTTTCGATGAAGAAACTTCGCGCTTTGCTTTGCACTGTGCATCGTTTTTTAGAACACTGCGTTAGATTTCCTTTATAGCACAGAAAATTAACTTTCATTTTCCACATAACAAGAGAAAAAGTGATATAACAGCTGTGTCATTCGTAAAACCGGTATTGTTATTAATAATGATGATAGGAATTTAGCACAAGAAACAAGAAACGTAAACAGACCATATTATATACGTCATATCACGAGCATCGTTCGTAGACCCAGTTCTCCTTCATAAATCAGAGAAAACGAGGTATTTCCTTCCATGAAAACAGAACTATCTGGCAGAGCTAATCGACTAGACAGTGTCTACAGATCACGGTGAAAAAGGTTTAGAATTGTATAAGCCTAAAGAGAACAAAAACAATAGAAAAACAGAACGTAAAGTCAATTATCGCCCGAAGCTGTGATGCGTCCAGCATCACGTAGCTTTTGCTCCTCCATGCTTTTAAGGTATCTGAAACAAAAAATATTACAATAATTGAGTGCCACGCGCGATTTGTGATGATAAAGACAATTAAACATTCTAGAAGTCAAAACCCACTATACGGTCGGAAGAATCAGTAAAATCCAGAAACAAAACGACTACACAGAATAATATGCTAGATATTTTAGACGTTTATGTGGTCTCATTTCACATAGGGCTCTAGTGCCAACAGTTCCATTCGCGACTCGACGATATTTTATATCCTTAGTGATCTGTTGGCGCTTGAGTTTGCCTTTTCAAAACTCCAAACCGACTGAGTCTTGAGTATTTGTACACCTCTATAGCCGCTGTGGCCTTGTGATTCAGAGGGTTACTGCCTTGTAACTGAGATTCTTTCGAGACGATAGCGATTTCTGTAGCAACAATTCATAGTAGTTGGTCCAGGACGACGTAGCAACTCAGTGTGTAAGTTGAAATAGCCAAGTGATCATATTCTACTCAGGTCTAACAAAACTGATGCAAAACGTTGAATAATCAACTCTGAGAACCTCTTCCTTTCTATCTGAAACAATATTACCCACAAAAAAGTGATTAATTCGTTGTTTAATTTAGTTTCAATTAAACTCATTCATTCAAAACAGTGAGCAATCCATGAACAGTCTTTATATCTCGTTCAAGGTACACTTAAAAATTTATAGAGAAAGGAACCAGCGTAACACTGCGCATAGAAGATAGTAGAAAACGGTAAGCATACTTCAGTGCTCTCTTTGCCGCAGTCGTCTTTGCTATACGATAGTTTCGACCCATTCCTGTGAATTTCATCTTGTTGCCAATGTCTACCGTTACTCGAACTTTTCCACTCTCAATTATTCTTTCCATTTTACTGAAACCAGATGATAAAGAAGAACAATAGCCCGAGTAAAATGACAAAACTTCTAGTAGTACAACAAAAGCAGTTAAAGAATAGGATTTTATGCACCATACAGACAAAACAACAGTACGCAGTATCTCTTCTAGTTTAAAACTAACAATTACTTCTTTTACTAACAAATACGTCCCTCAAGTATTTGAATAAATTCCAAAAATCTAAAGATGAACGACAGGAAGGCGTGAATTGAAACAACGCACAATGCCTCATGGTGATTTTTTAACCAGAGCGCGGAACATTGAAATTTAGGTTCTGAGCTTCTTCTGTTAAAGTTTTGGAAGTTTATTGGCTGATCAGAATACGTAACAATTTGACCTATAAAGGCTCTGAAGTAAACGCAGTCCGTCGAAGGGATGGCCACAGCGGAATAACTGTTTTAACAACTCGAGTGTGATCACCAAGAAAACAATAATTTTATGAGCTCATCATTCTGAACTTCCACAGTAAAAACTCACTTATTTAACTGTACACTGGGATGGATCACCCTCACTTGTTATGCGGACCCGAGCATAATTTCCATTTTTTTTCGGTGTTTTGCTTGTTCAGCCATTGTGGTTCCCTATAGTATCGAAGTCAGCCTAGCCAAAGTCTGCTCCATATCGTCACCACCACAGGCAGTCGCAGCCCATGTGAATCACAGAGAGGTTTACCATCATGCGACTAGTTTGATATCAGGACAGTGGTGGATCCTGGTATAGGTTTACTCTTAGCTAGGCTTCCTGATGAAAACGCCGGAATCATTTTCAGCTTGGAAGGTCATTCTGGGTGGACGATACCTCCGCTATACATCGCAACCCGACACCCAGGAGCATTTCCCAGCCACGATGTGGTAAACCGTTGGGAAGAGAGGATGCCCTAGCCGGAAAATCACTGTACTTGGAAAATTCAAAAGTCAAAGTGACCAGCGTAAGAAACCAGTTTCCAATGGGGAAATAAGTACAGTAAACTATGAACCTGAAACGTGTCTTGCCTGGCTCCAATTCCATGAGTTCACGTATCGGAGAACGGGGTGGATAAGCACAACATTCCTCGATTGTACGCCTCATTAAATTAAAGAATACCCGCCAGACAACATCCAAATCTCTATTAGCGTCCTGAACATTAACATGTCGAAAACATAAAGTGCGTAGTAACATTTACGACAGAAAATTTTAAGCTAGCGAAGTATTACGGATAATTTGGACTAAAAAGCCTTTAAATCGATTAAAGATCATGCTTCTAATAAAGTAAACGCATGGAATCAGTCGACCGCATGTTGAAAGTGATTAGGTGGTGGCTCCAAATTTAACACGAAGTAGAACCCTAATCTTAGCTTTGTTCTGACGTACTAGTCTTCGAACATTTCCTGTTTACCTTCCGTTTAATGTTCAAAATTTGATAAATCCAATACTTCACAACTATGACAATTTCTGGAAATTCTGACAAATCCTAAATCACTGAAGCTCCACAACTGTCGTAGACTTTACGAACTGAACGGCTCAATACACGGGACGTAACCCACCGTACTGAGTACACCCTTCGAGTTGACCTTTTGAATATTTCAAAACCAGCAAGTCACTAACAGCTACCTATTTTCGAGAAAATATCAGCACCAGTGAATCAAAAGACAGAAAATTAGAGAGTATTTTAGTAGACAGTTTACCAAATACACTGCTCCAGCGACGCTCTCAAAAATATCGCTCATTGCTTTCGGCACTTCAATGTCCTCTTCTTGACCTTCGTCTATTTCCTCTTCAGTTGTCACCATATACATCTGAAATCAAGATTGATAACAGATGTGATATTCTTAACAATTTCAAGTCGATATTACGGCACCACTTACCTCCATAATTTGTTGAAAAGCAACAAATATTTAACGCATTTAGTACCTACTAAGGATAACGGAAAATTCTTCACGAATCAGCGCCTTAGCATTCTCAAATACTTTTTAGGTTAGGAGCTGACAGAAAAGCATAGTGACCCTTGCGAGTACTATTAGTGACACCTTCATTCTAAAATTTTATACAGCTGCAAGGGCGCGTGTGGCGCAGTGGTCGGAGGCGCCCTGCAACACACAGGCAGAATCGATCTCCGCGCCCATGACCCAGCAAGCCTTCCATCTTTCCGGAGTCGGCAAATTGGTACCAGATTTGTCTGAGAGGATAGCAGCACTGGCTCGATACATTGGTAGGCCACCGCAAGTCAATGTAAAGGCCAGATATGCATTAAATCAACTCCAAACGACGCTTAACGAAGTCGAATGCATGACACATCCCTCACGCATTGATCAACGTCGAGAGCTTCATCCTTTTTATCCTTTACAGAGATGGACGAACCGATACATGAAGCATATAACACTGCAATCACTAAATAAACCAGCGAATACCAGCAAGCATTTTCAGTGTCCATATAATAAGCTGGAATCTATATTGAGCTTTGTTCTCTTCAAAGAAGGTCTATGTTGTCAGATTCCTCAATTACCCAAATGAACAGATAATAAGTTACCAGGATACTTGGATAGCAGTCGTCTTCACTGGTTGCGCGGCAAACATAATTTTCGTTTTTCGGAGTTCTGTTTGTCCAGCCATTGTGATTCCTTGAAGTCCCGAGGTCAGCTTGGCCAAAGTCTGCCCCAGGTCTTCACCACCACATGCAGTCGCAGCCCTTGCGGCTAAGACGGAGATTTGTCACCAGGCCACTATCTTGGTACCAGGACGGTGGTGGATCCTGGTACTGGTTTACTCTTAGCTGGGGTTACTGATGGAAACGCCGGACTCCTTCTCGGCTTGGGAAACCCTGTCAGGGAGTCGAATCACCCCGCTGAACATCGCAGTCCGATACCCAGGAACACTTCCCAGCCACGACGAGGCTGTAAACCGTTGGCAGGGTTTCCAATAAGCACCGAAAATATTTCCATCTACTCAAATTTCTTAAGATTTCCATGTCAGTAAATATTAGCGAGCAAAACTGCATGCCGTCGAACTCCAATTTCACTTCCTACCATTCTAGAAGACACATAACAATCTTTAGTGCTTCGGTTCACGTTCACTGGAGAACTACGAAATGTTGAAAATCATAATTTTTGTACACGATATGAATACGCCTTGCGTCATAAGTGATAGCTTATAGTACAAAAACCTGTTCATACCGAGATTTACAGCATCTTACTCAGAGTATAAAGAACAACAGTCTTTATGCACCTCTTTTCAGTAAGACTATCATAATGATGTGTGGTCCTTTTATTCCTTGCAAATTCTTTTTCCATGGCAGAGTATGATATGAAATACAGCTATAATCATGCTGCGATATGCGCTAAACTCAAAACCCCAAAAGGGAAGGAACCCTCGACTACGAATATCCTTTCAGAAAGTTTACGTGCTATACACCACACCAGCCAGTGAGCTTTCTTTTCCTTTCTCTCCACAAGTTTTCTAACTCTCTTGGTGCTGTCAGCAATCACCCAACAAGAGGAATTATCTGGGGAACACAAGTCGTCATTGATCCTAGTTAAAGCTGAGACTGTGATCGAAATCATAATGTATTAGCATTTACTGCTTTTTCTCTTTTCATTGCGTCGTACGATGGAAACTACAACCACAAGGATGAACATGCTTCAACTTAACTGGGCTGTGCTACTTAGATTATTCCCCTTAACGTGTGCCTGCTGATTCCACTGAAGGAGTTTTTTAAAAAACCAGCCGAAAAAAAGACAAAACAGAGGAGTGATTGGTGTCATGAATAGCACGTGAGACAGAGGTAAAATAATCGTGAGTTCGAAACCCAACTGAGGTTCTGAGTTTGCTCATATTTGGACATTCTTATAGCTGTATTATCATAACGTTTTACCACTGCCGAATACCTTTCATCGCGACAGAGAAGACACGAATGTCCGGGTTGAAATGTAGAGCACAGTAATCGGTGAAATTCAGAGGCCCTTCTCTTTTACATTCTTCACGACAGTACTGAATATCATACGACAAACATCGATCAGAAGCGCCCATAGAGATATTTGAACAGTTTTCGACAAACACAATCATGTATATATATATATATATATATATATATATATATATATATATATATATATATATATATATATATATATATGTATATGTACATGTATATACGTATATATATACATCTATATATATGTGCGTATATATATATGGTAGTGTCGTGTCAGTGTGGACTTAGATTGTATCCTGAACCTCCACTCGAATAAAATCTTACTGATATAATAAACATACATAAATACCTCAGAATTGAAGTTAGCGTCGAAGAAATTCCTTTCGCTACACAACTTTACGAACTTCTCAATCATATGGTGCAAGCCAGGACACATGGCAATAAAATGCTAGAAAAAAATACCATATTTTCTAAGAAAAGGAAAGAATTTACGGTTTATTCAATTTAAATTCCAACCTATTAATCTCTATAATATCACCATCAGAACTTTGTTTTCCGCAAATCAAAAAATATATATCCTGACTCTTTTTAAAGCAGTTAATGAGGTATCTTCTCTCAACGGTTTACCGCCAAATCGTGACTGGGAGGTGTTCCTGGGCGTCCAGCTGTGATGTGTAGCGGGCAGATTCACTCCCTGGCAGGGCCTCCTAAGCTGAGTCTGGCGTTTCCATCAGGAACCCCAATTAAGAGTGAACCAGTACCACGATCTGTCATCGTCCTGGTAACAAACTAGTCGCATGAAGGCAAATTTCCCCTCGATCCACAACGGCGGCGATTGCCGGTGGCGGTGACGACCTGGAGCAGACTTTGGCCTGGTTGACCTCGGGAGTCCAAGGAGCCACAATAGCTAAAGCAGCAAAACTCCAAAAAAGTGGAGATTATGCTGGGGTCCGCACAACCAGTGAGGAAGGGCCATCGAAGTATCGAGTTATAAAGTATCTAACTGATATAGCTTCGACGATGCTAAGATATTAGCAAAACCCCGGGCCACAGGTGTCTGCGTGGGGAACGAACGCGCTATTGTCCTTTCCGGGAAGTAACGCGCTGAACACCACACCATGCGGGTCTTTCGTTTCGCCTGTCTCTCAGCTAGTTCAATTGAACTTTTGCCGTCAGCAATCACCCGTCAGCGGGACAAAACGCGTTACTCCCCGGAAAGGACAATAACGCGTTCGTTCCCCACCGCAGACACCTGCGGTCCGGAGTTTTGCAAATATCTCAGCATCGTTGAAGTTATATTTCGCATTATACCCTACCATTGAAAATAGTAAGCAGTAAGTAAAATGATTAAGATTATCTAACTAATACTTTCATCCAAAATACCATTGAAGAGCTTTTAAACTTTAAAGTGGCACTGATATCATGGATAAATTTTATGGCACAACTACTGTTGTAAATTATAAACTTGACATAAAACCACGGATTAGTACCTTATGAAAATCATATTTCACCGCAAGACTAGCAAAAATCGTATTATTGACAAGAGCTGAGCGCAAATCGGTCAACACTCCAGGACTATATTGACGCTCATCTTCGAATAGATAACGAGTAATCATATAGTCAAGAACTGCATCACCGAGAAATTCGAGACGCTACAAAAAGAAAGGACTTCCACTAACAAAAACAAGAAAGTATTAACATCGAGTGAAATGGTTCATAGATGAAAACGAACCTGATAACAGCCAGTAATCCTATTTTTGAAGTAGCTTGCATGCGTGAAAGCTTGCAGTAAATACGCCTTGTTGTTGAAACGATATCTAGAAGTATTTCTATCACTGCCGCAAAAAAATTTTGCAAGTTTTGCGCCATAGATGCATTATGTTACAGGGATATTACGATCCGTGTTGTCATTTCAAACTCTGACATCTTACTTTTAAATAAACTTCCACATCTGGAGCGTGCAACAGAGTGGTCGGAGGCACCTTGCAATACACATGGGATCGATCCCCGCGCCCAAGACTCATCAAGCCTTCCATCCCTCCAGGGTTGGCAAATTGGTACCAGACTTGCTTGTGAAGATAGCAGCACTGTCACGATACACCGGTACGCCATCGCAAATCACTGTGTAGGCCAAGTTTGCACCCAATCACCTCTAATGATGCTTGATGAAGGCGAATGTATGACACCTCCCTCAGGGATTGACCAACGCTGACAGCTTTATCCTTTATCCTTTTATCTATATCTGAGTGTTATATTTAATTTCGAAGCGTATAATTTTCCCGTTATATCCATGCTGATGGGTTTTATCTGTACAAATTTGTATAGATGCTGAAATGAGAAGGAGAAAGAGCACGTTCGAGCTATTGTTTCTGCAAATTCAAATATGCATGTTTAAGGACGAAAATCGCTTGTTATCTTAACTATTGTTGCCGCACAAGAACTGTTGTGACAAATGAGAACCACAGACAGGGCTGAGGACGACTCGCCGCAACTGACGAGCAAATGGAGATGTTTACTGTAAATCCAAGCATAACAGCCCGCTCATATCGAACAAACCAAAGTATTTAATCTCAGAAAAGAGAGCGATGAAAAGAAAGACAACTCTCTGTGAGTTTAATGACAAAAACACCAACCCTATTTTATCTTCTAATAGATCAAAGTTGAACTGCAGCCACATATCTTTCAGCAAACGCTCTGCCATATCAGGACATTCAGGCGTGTTCACGAAACTAAACAAACAATAAAAGATTAAACAAATTTAATGAGAACACAGGCTTTGAAAATTCCTAGAGCTAAAAGACGTGTACTCCAATTTCGTATCATCCAAAATACTTAATTAAAAGATAGACAAACTGGGTAAAACTCACCGTAATAGTGGGTCCGCACTTACTACATCATCCGTCAGTACCTTCAAACCAAGCCATTTCATAACCTCAAATTGTACAAAAGTTAATTTTGAGAACTTCAATGCCTCAGGACAGAAAAATGCAAAGTAACATTTAATTCAATTTATGTCAATAAGAAAAAAATCACTTTTAGTGTTGGCTGAGGGCCTAATGTAAGCAAATGAGCTCCAATCAAAGCTTCTACAGCATCGGCGATGGACTTGTCGCTAATATACTGCTGTGTCAGCATATTGTATGGTAGTGGAGGTAGTTCTTCAAGTGCTGTACTGCTCACAGATGGCTGAAACATTGTAAGGGGAATTCAACGTACGAAAACGGTTCCTTACTGTGAATATCAAATAATCTGATCTAACACCAGTTTGCTAACACTTAGATTCTGAGGATCTCTGCTTCGTACCCCAAAGATGAGGATAGATTCACCGCTGCGAGCTGACTTCAACATACAGCGTATGTAGTGGAAAAGTAGGAGTCGTTGTATGTGTTCACCATATAAAATTATTAAGCGTCAGACTTTAAGGTTTAAAACACCGGCAAGGTTATTGGGTGCCTACTGGGATCCGTACAATGATCGAATGATAGAAAAGTAAACTGGAACAATATGATTTTGCTGGTCTACCGAAGAATCAACTCTGTGTTGCTTTCCTCCAAGACAAGTTTTCCATGAATTTCTCCACACTCGGATCGATAAAAAAGCTTCGTGAGTCTGGTTATGTGATCGAAAGAGCAATTTGTTTAATATCTACTTCATGGCATTCCTAACCACTGCGCTAGACGAACCTATATGAAAATAAAATCGATTACCTTAGCGAAATTAATGGTTTCAACGCCATTCTCTAACTGCCGAACATCACTGTTCATGTCCGCCTGATCCCATCCAGTGACTGGTTTGGGCTGGAAAATGGTGAAATTAAAAGCAAACTGCAACAACAACATAAGAGCTAACTACCAGCTTTTGCACAGTCTCGTTGCCATCAAGAACGTCTTCGATAAATTTATCACGCTCCTCCGCATCTTCTGAATTCGGTGCTTTAAAGTTGTTGTTCGGCATATAACTGAAACCATCAAAATTAGCAACTATGCAAAACAATGAAAGGCAATTTTTCACAGTACGGAAAACAGAAAATAACAAATAACAAACCAAGGAGGAAGCCATGAATCATACACATCGAACTTGGACGCAACTATTAACGATGGGATGCCCAGTCTCTTACCAAGTCGATATAAGTTGCAATTCGATACCTAGAATTCCAGATTAAGGGCTAGCAAACTCACCAAGGGTCACCAAATAGTTTTCCTGTATATGAATATGCGTAACCAACGGCATTACAAACTCATTAGGAGTTCAATCATTTTCGATCCCAACAACCTCACGAATCGATATTTATTGATCGTGCCAGTAAGAACGCAAACAATGGAGTGTATTATACAATCTTAGTTAAAGCATTCTGTCCAGAATGAAAACTACGTGAAATTAATAAACTCTGTTTTTCATTCTTTCTTTCACGTGCAAAAACGTATATTCTGAGAATATGTTCCACTACAACTATCTAAAGACAGAAACAATATCTCTTTACAATCACAATGATGCCAAGATATGAACAAAATTCGAAAAACCAGGTGAGCATCGAACCAGCGATTACCCTTGCCGAGTGGTTAGGTGTTACCGCTCGTACCACCGAGACCCTTGTTTTACCTTTCTCTTAGGCAGCTTTTTTATCCTAACGGTGCTAACAGCAATAACCCGTCAACTGGAAGATAGGTTTAAAAAAGTGAATGAGAGGAAAGTGAAGCAAGGGCGTCGGTGGTAATTTGGTGAAAAGGGTGATCGAGGGTTTAAACCTGGAATTCTGAGTTTTGCTTATATCTCAGCATCATTATGGTTGTATTTTCACAATACCCTGTCATGAAAAACTAATAATTAGCAAATAAAAGTTAAACAATACCTCTTTACTCCTTGCAAACGACAGTTTTCCTTCATGTTGATCAGGATGAGAGTGATAAAGATAATCAGTAACAGAATACTTCAAAAACGAATCCCCTATTGTCTCGAGTCGTTCCAGATTAATACCTGAGATGAACATTGTATCATAACGAATATAACACTTAGGACACTCAAAAGTTTCACGGTAGAACACATATCGACTGAAATCGGTTTTTCGAGAAGTGACGGTAATATCTTGATCATTAATATATCAGAAGAGCTCCAAACCTTAGAGACTTATAGCAGATACCTGCACAAGTGCCTTAAAGACATATACAACTGTTTTATGTATTTTTTCAATTTCAAATTTGTTTAGAATTAAAGTTCTCAAGATGCTGGATACGAAATATAACCACAATGAATAGCAACATATTAAGTAAATAACAATGAACAATAATATAACTTAAATTAGAAACACGGCTGAGAGAAAGGCGAAACAAAGGACCCGCAAGGTGTGATGGGGGACGCATCAGCCTACGGAAAGAGTGATAGCGCACTGATTCCCAACCGCAGACATCTGCGGAGTTTTGTACATATCTCAGCAACATTTTGCTTATATTTCACATCATCCTCTGCCATAAAAAAGAATAGACAGTGAATAAAAAATGATTTCATATACATAAATGCATGTATACATATACATGTACATGTACATAATATACGTATATATATACAAGAAGATAAGGAGGGACAGAGACAGAGAAAACTGTTCATAAACTTACCATCGCTGGCATTAGACGTTGTCAGAGCCGTCAACAGAAAGCGAGGTGAAACACCGTATGCCTTCTCGTCAATTAACGAGCCCTTGGGACAGTCCGATGTAAGTTCTGCATTAGAGAGAATACAATTTGACGATGACGATGATGATGGCGATGGTGACGCAAATGAGAAGCGATTCTGATCTTTTGGCAGCTCCGGAGCCAGAATTTGACCCTGACTCAACAAAAATAAACGTTTTAAAACGCAAATCACGATCACCGTCCAGGTTATGTTAGTGAATACAGAAATTCTTCACTAACTAAGAACAAAACAATACTGCCTTTTGAACATTATCTCATTGCTTGCATTTTCTCCAACCTCTGTTAGCTCGTCAATCGTGGCCGTAGCATGATCTCGCTTGAACCTCTGCTGTTCACCTTTCTCCATTTGTATAGATTCATCTTCAGAGCCATAGTTGACAGCGGTTTCGCAATCGCCCTCTTCTAAACCTTCTTTTTCAAGTTAACTCATGCGAATTTAATTTATTCTCAGAATCAGTGCGAAGGCAATTAAGCCAGCAATGAATGTTCACTCTACAGTCCCTCACGACTTTTGGACATTTGATGACGGTAAGCCTAGGGTGCGCTAGCTGCCTCTCAAATTAAAATCTTGAAAGAAACGGCCAAATATGGACAAGAGTTGAACAGGTAGACTAGACATGGAATGTGAAAGCTATTGAAAAGACGAATATCTCATTCGACGATTAAGCAAACAAGAGGTTGAAAAAAAGATTTACTCGACCAACGTTTCGACACCTTCGTCTTCTTCAGAGCCGGATTCATTCCAGTCAATAGTCCACGGCTAGTCGTTGTTGCGACGTGGTTGCTCGTTGTCGCATCGAGTCGAATCCGGTGGACGGTGCAACGCTCGAATGGCTGACTTCACTCAGCGGTGCCCTTTTATACACAATAGATGCCGGTCAATTCCCGCCTCCAATAAGATCTACTTCAGGCGGGCACTGCTTCCTGCAGCAGTTGATGCCATATTAGTTAGTTAGCAAACAGCGTGAAGACGACGTCGAAACGTTACCCAAATAAATCTCCTTACCAATTTCGTTTACGTAGTAATCGAAAAGGGTATTTGTTATTTTTTCCGAGCTTTAATGAAAACCGATTTGAAAACTATTGCAAACATGTCTACAAAACCGATAAGATACACATGAATCATATGCGCCATTTAGAAGCAGAACAATACTGTCTATTGTTAGTGTTTTCATCCGACCAAGTAGCCATGTTCGTGAAACTGGTGAAAGAAAACACGAGAGGAAAACTCGTCGAGGAAAAAGAAACAAGAAAGGAAAATAAATCATATATGAATCATAGGCTCTACCGTGCACAAGGCGTGTGTGGCGCAGTGGTTATAGTGCCCTGTAATACACACGTAGGTAATGATTTGATGCCGTGCCACTTGGTCACCATGCATTCATAGCTCTCCGGAGTCGGTAAATTGGTACTAGATTTGCCTGGGAAAATGACAGCACTGATTTAATAGATTAGTAGTTACCGAAAATCATTGTATAGTCCAGATATTCATTAAACTGTGGTGCGTGGAGCTCAGTGGTCAGAGGCGCCCCGCAATATACATGGGATCGATTCCAGCGCCCCAGTCTCATCAAGCCTTCCAACCACCCGGGTAGGAAAATTGATACCAGACTTGTCTAAGAGGATAACAGTACTGGTGCGACACATGGCTATGCCACCGAGACTCATTCTAAAGGGCAGATATGCGTTTAATCACCTCCAATGATGCCTAATGAAATCGAATGCGTGGCGCAACCCTCAGCGATTGGGCAATGGCGGCGAGAGCGTTATCCTTTACGCATTAAACCACCTCTAACGATGCTAAATGAAGCTCAATGCATGTCGCATTTCTCAGGCACTGATCAACTTTATCGTGTGTACCAACCACTCCTCACGATTCATAGATCCATACAGTCGCAAAAGGCTTAATGAAATAGCTATTTGTCTTCACTCGACAAAATTGGTTTAGTCGTTCATGGTTGTTGAGCTGTTCAGGTGACAAATCATGTCATTACTATTAGTACCAGTCCATACTAATGTTGAGCAAAAAGCCATAAAGAATAGAATTGTGAGCCTACCGTCGTCGTCGAACTGCATCAAATCCACAATCTCTTCTTTCACAGTACGTTCTCGATCCTCCAACATTTCCATCTTATCCAAGTATAACTGCAAGCAAAGCTACGTCAAAGATTCGTTGGGGGAACTGCAATGACTTCTTCACCTTAGTTGGCTCCAAAAGTGTTGTTCCAATATTCTGTGTATGAATACTCTCCTTTTTAGTTGAAACTGGATCACTATCTACTTCGATCAGAATTCCAGTTGTGTCTTCAGAAGGTTTCCATGCACTCAGATGTGGAGGTAAGATCTTACTTTGGACATCAGCAATAAGGCTGTTCATATCAATTTGATTTGAGGCACAACCCAGAATTTGCTGAAACTCGAAGACATGTGTTGGATAAAAGAAACAATGGATGGTACCCCACTGCTTTTACAAAACATTAAGGACTTGAGGAGTCAAAAATTAAGTCTTACAAACGGCGTATCTGGCACACTGTCATCAAAGTCTCCCCAACCAAACGCTTGTATATCTGGACGCGGAGCAGCGAAATCCGATTTCGTAGCACCTAAAAATGGTTCCGCTGAGTTCGATTCAAACAGGACTGTCCTAACATGATACATTTGTATAATGCTAATATAGAATTCACTTCCTAGTATCAACTTTCTATTAACGTCGGCACTGGAATATGAATGCATCGTTTTCTTGTTCAACAATCACGAGGTTGTTATACAGCATACATTTATTTCCATAGAAAAACATACAATACGATACAACACCAGCCGATGTTTCGGCAGCATCGCCTTCTTCAGAGTCTGGAAGAGTATATTGGTATACAATGTGCTAGAACAAGCGCTTCACCAACACATATAAAAAGATAAAAACTATGGTAATTACATTACCAACAGATTTTTGAAAAACTCACCGCTTTTCTTTTACGTACCTCCCACTGAGGAAGAGCCACTGACCGGAGTCGAACATGCTTGACGACTGCACCTCCCCCCATCAACGATCGAAGCGATGGTACAGGGTGAGATCACGTGTGATCACCGGGCATTCCTCCCTGCTAGTTCTTGGCATCTATCCAAAGCCCAGAGGCCACACACGACCTGGTCCCGTATCTTCGCATCAATTTCTTATGGGATGGTGCAATCATCAACCATATGCGACCATAATCAGGTGTTCTAATCTTCCTCATTGGAAGTCACGTATAAAAAAGCGGTGAGTTCTTCGAGAAGCTGTTGATCATGTAATTACCATAGAGTTTTTCGCCTTTTTCTATGTGTTATTGAAGCGTTTGGCCTAGTAGACTGTATATCAGTATACCCTTCCAGGCTCTGAAGAAGGCCATACTGCCAAAACGTGTGTTGTATTGCATTGTGTTACTCTATGGAAATAAATGTATGCTGTTTAACAACCTCGCGATTGCTGAACAAGAAAACGACGCACAGAATTCATAACCAAGTTAACAAATAGCAGCAAAAAACCTCTACTCTTCATTAAAATACCCAAGTATGTGAAAGACCATAACGCATGAAACACTAGGCTGGCGGCAATGTTGTTTTCGATTAGGATGCCGTTTTCAAATAACTTTTACATGGCAATGTATCCATTTCGACATAAAGATACCAACATCTATTACAACTGCAGCACAGCAAAGTTCAATTAAGTTAGATTTAACTATGTTCAAACAAAAAATGAGCGTAGTTAACGTCGAACCACGTGTAATTTGATCGTCAAGCGTGAGCTAACCCACACCTATCTTAAATGTGTATTCCACTCAAGCTATGGGGCTCGAAACTGCTACCGCATCCTTTGTTGGCAAAGGATCGCCATATACGCAACATCATGCACTTTAGTCGCAGAGTAAGAACGCGTCATAGCATTGGTGTGCGATCGTCAAAAAAGTGAATTGACCATCGCATTGTTGCCTTCTACGCAAGCAACAGCGTCTGGACCTTGCATATGGTTCGCCAAGCGTAGTGAAGCAGAATTCCACGGAAACGACATACTTTCTGTATGGTGGCCGGCGTTGAACACCATGAGCTTAGTTTGCCCCATAACATCATCAAAACCAAACTCCATTGTGGAAACTTCTAAATAATCTGAATGCTGCTCTAAATCCTAGCGCCCTTCGTATGCCGTAAAACCGTACTGCGACAATGGAGTAGGAACCCAAAGTGAGGTAGATGAAGATTACTGATTATATGAAGCTTAAAAGAAGGTCGGTTTCTAGAACAAAGCGAAGCAAATTCGCAAAAAGCAACTCGATATGGGCTGCGAAATTGTTCTATCAGGGTACAACTACGATTTGATGTTTGAAGAATCTCCTTCTTTCCGAATCACTGCAGCGACAATATTTCGAAAATTAAATGACTTTAAAAATTGACCCAATGTGAGGATGTGAGGCAGGCAAAGCAGAGGGCTTAACTAGGGGGATAGCCAAACAATTGAAATCATAAGTTACTAGGTTGATCCAAGAAACCGCCTTCAAACGTCCACAGTAGATTGACGCTTGCGATTTCAATCATCTTCAGGACTCTGGAAAAAGACTTTTTGTCCACCCTCTGCTCACTCTACTTTTCGAAGAATCTCTTTTGTAGATTCTCGTGTTTTTTCTGCCACAGAATATCTAAGCATGTACCTATGAAGAAAAAGAATGCAAATTTCTCCCTTTAACATGTTCATTTCAACCAACCTAAAATCACTTTAAATTGTTTTGGAAGAAGTACGACATAGCAGCGAGTCAAACAACAAACTTCAAAAATGTTATCCAAGAACGACAAAAGTAATAAATATATGTTATAAAGTGTATTTGTGAAATTTGTAATTGTAAAGCCTGCCATTACTTCTGAGTCAACCGAACAGAGCAAACTATAACCTTCCAAAAACGCAATTTTTGTAAAGGGACAATGAATGTGAACAAATTAGCAAACTAACAAAATATTCGTTTGACATTAGCAACTTCAACACAAGTACAATAACTCACCCGCTTTTTCAGCTAAGTATTTAGAAAAATCGAACATTATCACTGCATCGGCGTCCTCGTCATCTGAAAGATCTCCACCTGCACGAACCGATGAGGACATCAAACCAACCTAAAGAAGGCATCCGTGAAGGAACATTTTGCAAACATTTATTAAGCAAACAATAAATCATCTATAAACAAGATAAGACATGAGCTAGCCATTTAGTGATTTTTTAACACAAAAATGGACGTGTTTAAAAACAAGAAAATATTACAATAACTATAACAGCGGGTTTTCATTTCGCCTGTCTCTCAGCTAGTTTTGCGGTTGCATTACAATACCTATTAATGGACAGGTTTGACTGAATGAGTCTCTGAGCTGAAATGTGCCCTTACCTACATGTGGAAGTGAAACAAGTAATGAAATAATAGGACAAATAACACTTTCATGCAAATGATCAGAATGACATATTTAAGAAACATTCCAACAAGCAAAATCCTACACAAAGACAAAAAAAGATGGAAAAACACCCGCCGCAAGTACAGAAAACTGAAAAACGTTGTTACAAATATGTTTAAAAAAAGCTTAACATAAGATATGTTAGACGTACGGTATCGAATGAGTCGCCTGGTGCAACCAAAGACGGTGGTACATTCTCGTTATTAACAGATTCGACGACTACTGGCACCCAAACGCCGATTTCGAAAGCGTTCTTAAATGTTGTTTAAACTGTGCAATAGTTTACCGAAGAAAAACCTTGTGAAAACCTCATATATTTCATATTCTTGCCCATAAACAGAAAACCACACGGGAATAAACATTGATGAAGGAACCTCGTCATCAAGTGCTTCTTTAGAAAGCTTTCCAGCAGCAATTTCACTGGCACGATTCTCCTCTCTCAGCTGCTGGATTTTCGTAACAATTAGTGATTCTTTTTCCTCATAGGTAGCAGGATAGGAAAGAGGAGCCCACTCATAGTTATCAGGTACTGTAGACTCCTCCTTAAATGAAGTATTTGAACAAACAATATATGTGCGTGTATGTTTCATTATAAGCCGACATTTAATAATTTCCAAAATACTCTCATTTCAGCCTACTTTTGAGTAACCCAAGGCATCCACAAGTGTCTTTTGCCGGAGTTCGTCTGCCAACAGCAGATGATTGATCCTAAAAATGAAGTCATACATATATATATGTGTATGTACATGTATACATATATGTACGTATATATATATACTAAAAACTTTCGCTATCACAGTTTTCGTCGATTCTTTCAATCACTACTATTAAAATATGGATACTTCAGAATTGCATTGGAATTTGAACTGGGACTGGAAACTGAAAATAAGTTCCAGAAGAATGTATTTCCAATTAAAAGGATAAAGGATAAAGCTCTCGGCGTTGATCAACTCTTGAGTGATGCGCCACGCATTCGAGTACATTAAGCATCGTTGCAGGTTACCCAATGCATATCTGGCTTTTATAATGACTTGCGGTCGCCTACCGACGTATCGAGTCAGTGCTGCTATCCTCCCAGAGAAGTCCGGTACCAATTTGCCGATCCCGGAGGAATGAAGAACTTGGTGCCTTGGGCGCTGACATTAACCTCAGGTGTATTGCAGGGCGCCTCCGACCACTGTGCTACACGCGGTTCTAATTATTTCACAAAAATAGAGAAACTTCATACCATATTTACATGTTACGAGTTTTGTCGTTGTGGGAAAAAATTGTCCAACCGATAAAAAAAACTCGGCAAAGCCGAAATCAGATTCCACAGCGTTGCGGATATAGGATGACGATCCATCAATTCTGGGACGTAGATTTGACGTTGCCGCGAAAGAGAAGAGTTTTCAAGTTTCGGAGCAGCCGCTTTCCGCCTTCCACCACCAGCACGAGGCAACAGCAGATTGAGACGGCTGCAATTCCACTTGAGTAAATTTTCCGTTTAAATAAACATACCAAAAATAAGTCACCAGAAAAGCAAAGTAGTACGAGGAAATAAAGAAAGTTAAACAAGCCAATTCCTAGCGGTTGTCTTAGACCTACTTTGAAGTAAAGTCCACATCGAGTAGATTCTGTGTCTGATCGTAAATTTTCAGATTATACTTTTTGGTAAAGTACTCATTAAACGATGTGTATTCCTCATCAGGAAACGGTGAGGAAGGCGTGAGATCCTCGAGAATCTGGAAGAAGTCTTCAAATTTTACGAAGCAAAAGTAATTTCTTCTTCTTCTTCTTTAACTTTTCTTAGTACCATTCAACTAATTACACGTGCAGAAAAAAAATTATTTAACACTTTATCCACTACACAAATCTCAACACTGGATATCTCTGGAAAACAAAGATGGGTAAGCAAGACAGAAAAAATTTCCTACTTCGGCCACGTAATAGAACACTGGTTGCTCTAGATTGCGGTACCAAGGCATTACCACCGCGTCCCTGTAGTCTTCAGCACTAAAATAAAACCACTGAGAAAAAACTTCAGCATTTGAACTGTTTTTAACAACTGCAACTCACCTAAACTTAAAATTTCTCCGTTCTTCTTCACTCGGCACTCGTGGTGTGTCGTGCATCATGCGCACCACTTGCTCAACATATTTCATGTTTATATTGTACTCCCATTTACCATAGGTGGTTGACGGGACTAGACAAAATAACAGTGAAAAACAGTCATTACCTCCCTAGACATGCAAATTACCCAGTGTTTACCAGAAGTTCTCTAGTATAAGCTCGAAAAGGAATTTCGAGCACCGAAACAGATAGATCCCTCTCAACGGTTTACCATCTCATCGTGGCTGGGAGGTGTTCCTGGGTGTAGGGCTGTAAGGTAGAGCAGGGAGATTCATCCCTCCGGAAGTCTCCCGAGCTGAGGAGTGCAGCGTTTCCACCAGGAAGTTCAGCTAAGAGCAAACCAATACCAGAATCTACCACCGTCTTAGCATCAAACTACTCCGCATGGTGGCAAATTTCCCTCTGATCGACAAAGGCGACGACTGCCTGTGATGGTGGTGACCTAGAGAAGACTTTGGCCAGGCTGTCCTCAGGACTCCAGAGAACCACACAGGTTAAACCAGCAATTCTCCGAGGAATGGAGATTATGCTGAGGTCCGCACAACTAGTGAAAACGGCTCATTCAAATAACCAAGTAAGTAAAAAACAGATTGATCAGATCAGAACTTCGACTGCGAGAGCTTCATACAGAACCTACTTCTGTGAAGTGGAACAATTAAGGTATTGATAGGCGTCGATGAATCCACATGAAATTCAAGATTAGCCTTACATAACTGAAGAACGTCTTTAAAGATGTAGTGGTGAAAATGTTTGATCATAGTGAGATTTTGACTGCTCAATGTAACCTAAAAAGAATGCAATTGAAGCATGTTGTCGAAAGGAACGCAGTAGGTACAAATATGGAAATACACCAACCTGAGTCGAAGCTCGAACAAGATGTACCCGCATATCGCCTTGACGCAAATAGGCAGCAAATGGTGGAATCTATGCGAGCAACCGGCACTTTCGCTTTTTTAAAATTACAAAATAGGGTGTTTAACAAATAGTACCTTCGGTAAAATTCTTGAACTCAGAAAACCGAATAAATACTCATATTGCAAAGGATTGGCAAAACGACGACGTTTAGGATTTGATTCCGGTGATGGTTCCTTTACAAGCTCCAGTTCCATTACATAAATATAACAAGGCTTGCCTTTTATTGGCAGGGCTTCATGTAATGCTGTTGCTACCTGGAATACACTGGAGTACTTTTAATGTTCGAGAGATTCATTAGTACGGTTATAAGCAACTTGGAACACAAAGTGAAAAAGCTGCTAAAAAACGAAAAAAAAAGAGAAGAAAAGGATTTGTTTAAAAAAGAAAAAGAAGGTGGAAAAAAGGATTCTCTGGAAAGTACGCATCTAATGACGTCTAATTTTCAGCGGCGCACACTTTCTTATTTTATGACTACTTTACGTTACCATTATTATTGTACTCCATTATTAATATTATTCATCCCAACGGTTTACAGCCTCAATGTGGTTGGGAGGTGTTCCTGGGTGTCAGGCTGCGATGCACAAAGTGGGATTTGTCTTTCGGTCGGGTCTCTCAAACTGAAAAAGTGTCCGGCGATTCCATCAGGAAGTCTAGCTAAGAGTGAACTAATACCAGCACCCACCATCGTCCTGGTACCAAAGTAGTTGCGACGACCTGGAGCATACTTTGGCCATGCTGACCTTAGGACTCCAGTCGCAATAGCTAGACCAACAAAACTCCAAAAAATCGAAATTATGCTCGGGCCCGCACAACCAGTGAAGACAGGCCATTCAAGTAAAGAAGTTTTAATATTCTTTCAGTAATCACACCACTTGATAAGTTAAGAATCCGGTAAGAAATTCACAGAAATTTTGATAGGAATTGGCAACCTGGTAATAAAAGAAACATTTTGCTACTACTATAAATATGTAATTCTCTCAAACGAAACTTTTGCCTCGAAAACTGCTTTCGCTTCACCTTCTCTATTACGAATCATCACGTAATCTTCCATTGACATCCTAACACCAGAGCAGTACAAAAGTTCGTCCGGTTAACGTTTTGGCGCCTTCACCTCCATAGGAGCCATATTGATCCGAGTCGATTATGCAGTTGTTCCCAGTGAGGTTAGCTAACTCGAGCGCTGCTCTACTTGATTTAACTTGATGCGATCAAGAAGAACTACATCGGAAGAAGTAACAACTGTAGACAAAACACCCCGATCAATCGGGCTCTGAGGAAAGCGAAGGCGTCCAAACATTAGCCGAATATTAGCTAAATAAAGTTCTTTAGCAAGCCTGTGTTTGCTTACCAATGGAACGATACACGCTGATTCCCAATTTGACCAAATTATAAAACACTGAAAACGAAATCCAGGTTTTCGAGAATTTTAAAATAATTTCGATTTGGTATTGAAAACACAAACCGAGACTATGTCTTACTGAGTTAAGAAAAATGTGAACAAGTACTTACAAATACAACTACAGTAGCAGAAAACTAATGGTTACCCTCTTATCGTAGAGCTGTTTTCTTCTTGCTGATCCCACTTTAGCAGAAATACCAGGCGCCCATTCATCAGGATCTTCGTCAAGCTGGCTCAATAGATCAGCTATTGATTCACGTCCTACAGGGAGCAGATGATCATTTAATTCTCCAGATTTATGCAAAATACGGCAAGCCTAAAATCAACGAGAAGTTTTTCATCAGCCAGAAGTTGATAAAAACCTGAAATATCGAACAAACAAAAGTTTGAGAGCACATGTAGTGAACAAACGATTAGCCCATACAACAAAAATAAGTGGACAAACGGAAAGAAGGGCAGGCGGAAAACGAAGAAATAGACTTTGTGCATGGTAGTGTAATGACACTAACCTCCAGCGCTACGGCCATCTGCGCTAACTTCTTACTTTCTAACGGTGATTCCAATACGATCGGCTTCTTCACGGGAGAGTTCATAGGCAACAACAATTCAGCTTTATACCAAGTAGATCCCATGTACTCGACAGGTATAAGATGACTCTGCGGTACAAGACGTGTGAAAATATCAGATGGTAACTTCGCACAATACCTGCAGAGCATTAAAAAGTCGTACCATAAACTGACATCAATGAATATAAGAAACTTGCCCAACCTATTCACAAGCCCTATAGCAGACGTCAATGAAACTTGAGCTCCAGTGGAAGGAACAACGTAAGGAGGAAAGTAATCATCTATATTTGCCATAATAGATAGGTCATTTTCAAACTCAGTGCTTGGATTATGAACGTTGCGATAGCGACGCAGAAGCACCTGTAACAATTCTACTATCAATACACTACATGAGCGTTAAGATGCAACAGGGATGAAAATCAGTTCGCATCGTGGACAATCGTATGGACCTGCCTTTTCGATTTCAACGAAGTTTCGAAGATCTTCAGAACAACACCCCATATCCGCTTCATCAACTAGTATGAAATACTTCGAATCTCTTTTACGAGCGCGACCTTTAGACTGGAATTTACTATTACGACAAAATGCTTAAAGACTTGTCAATGGTGTACTCATGTAAGAAGAGATATATTTACTTGAATATCTAGATCACCCTCCCTCACTAGTTGGGCGGACCCAACCAAAATTTCCATCCATTTTGGAGTTTTGATCCTCAAATCAGTCTGGCTGAAGTCTACATCAGATCGTCACCACCACAGCCAGTCGCCGCCCTTGTGGATCAGAGGAAGATTTGCCACCATGCGACTAGTTTATCATCAGGAAGGTGGCTGATCCTGGTATTGGTTTAGTCTTAGCTGGGCTTCCTGATGGAAACGCCAGACTTCTTCTCAGCTGTGGAGGCCATGCTGGGTGGATGAATCCACCCGCTGTATATCACAGTCCGACACCTAAGAACACCTCCCAGCCACAATAAGGCGACAAACCGTAAGGAGGAAACAGAGATACAGTTCCTCTATGTTACAATACCTTTACATGCAAATGCAAATCCAAAAAACTTTGTTAAATAAAAAAATCAAAAAATGACTACTATACGAATTAACCTGAATGTAAGATCTGTAGTCCATCGGTCGATCAAATTTTATTACGACATTACAATGAGGGATATCAACTCCCTCCTCCAAAACACTTGTCGCAACGAGAAGGTTGAGATCACCTTGTCGGAAACGACGAATCACCTACATAGAAAGTTGTAGCTAAAAGCGATCCAAGAAAACGACAACGGAGACTATTCACATCAGCCTGACGCTTGTGAAGTCCTTGACTATCATCTGATGCAAAACTTCCACCACTGAATCCAATTACAAAGTCCGACTGAATGAACTTAAATCTAGGTTCCCAACGACAAATATGCTTCAGTAGTACCTAAAAGTGATTGAGAGAAATAGGTAGTGTACAAACATCACAACTTTTTATTTGCTGTCTACTACAATTTCTCACGGCAGGGTATTATGGTAAAGGCAAATAGAAAACTAGCTGAGAGACAGGCTAAACGAAGGACCCGCTTGGTGTAGTAGTGAACGCGTTAGCTCTCGGAAAGGATAGTAGGGTATTCGATCCGCACCCCAGACACCTGTGGTCGAGAGTCTTGCAAACACCTTAGCATCATAAGTGTTGCATGTTGCAAATTAACGTTACGATTAGAATCAGAAATTTGGAGAAATATACCTACATTAAGAGTATACGCGACATACCGCTGATCGACGAATACGATTCCGCTCAGCGTTTCCGAATTAAACAATGATAAAATTTCAATCAAGCGTAAGACCTTATTAGGTAAATAGGGAGTTAATCCCTCAAGGCTTTTGATTGGTCTCATCTGCAAAACAAATTATACGAACTTCTCCAGTGACAGACGTGAAAAATTGACGGTGATAAAAAAAGAGAATAAAACTTATGGAAGGAAAAGAGAACGCTATTTTAAGGATGTGAAACCTTTGGTTCAAGAATTCTTCGAACTATGCTCATACACGTTCCCCCCATTATCAAAAAATCAACAGTTTTCTCTTGAAGAAACGACTGTCGTGTCAATTTGTGCAGCTCCTTCTCCCACATTTGAGATACCTTAAAAAAGAGCTGGTGAATAGGAGAATATAGAGAAATCTCTCGAAAACGGAAAAGTGGTTACCTTCCATGCTGCCCAAGGCCCTACTTGACGGAGAACAGCCAGCGTTCTATTTAGCGCCTCTTGAATAGGCTTTCGAGGATCTATATCAAAATTAGGATCGAACTCCTGTGTAGATGAACAAAATTTTCGCCATTCTTCCTACAAAAAAAAAAGATAGGAAAGAACTCAGTGACACTAAAATAAATAGAAGGACTCACCAGTAACTGCACAATTTCTCCTCCGTATGAACCATTTAGGTCATAACTTCTTGAAGATACCACTATCTCTCTTGGTTTTGCACCGTATTTCGAAATCTTAACTTACAAAATGGGGTTCAAACAGCTCTGAAGACCTACTCTGAAGCTGTGGAGCATGTGATTTGAAATGCAAATGCAAACGTTATAATCAAGGAATGGTGGACCCACCGCTACTAGGTCAGATGCCGTTTCAATGGCGCAATTTAAAACGTATTCCAACTTGGAGAGTTTCTCTTCCAATCGGTTTGGAGGTGTCTTATCGTTAATAAGTGAAGCAGTGAGACCCAAAATACGCGGTCGAGAGTCTGAAATCTACAAATCACTTTATTTGACTATAATTTTCAGATTCATTCCCGAAGAATCACTATACCTTCTGGTATTCGCATGATACGATCCATAATCACTCGATAAGGATGCTTCACACCTAAAGCATGGTGGCATTCATCAAAAATTACGACAGCCAATCTTGTTACACTCAGATAGGCATGATCTATGAGATCCAGAAAGACTTGAGCAGTTATCACAACTACCTAAAACAGGCCTCATAAATTACCATAACACAAAGGTGGAGAAGAGCTGATGTCTAAACAAATTATTGATGGGTTTTTAAAACAGATTATCTTCTTGCTACGAACATTATGTACAGACATGAACTGATCGAACTTGCTCTGCTTATCCCAAATATCGTTGTGCAGATTTCCGTGTATCTTACCAACAGCGAGAGTAGTATGACAGTGAATATGTTCAGCTTGTTGGTCGACGAGTGCTACTGCAAATAAATAAAGAATAAATAAAGAGTTATAACTGAAAAATAGTAACACCTTATAAAAATGGATTAACCAAATTATAGAGCGGTTGAAAAGACTATTAGAGGGTATCCTGAGAATCAGAGAGATCATCTTTGAGAACATAAAAAGATGGTCCACGTCTTCGCCACATCCCTAAATCAACTATATTCACAGCCGATAGCAACCCTCACATATTCAATAACAGCCGAAGACAATCGTGCCTTCATACGGACGACGGCCACGGCTAATTATCATTTTTCCGAAGTTCTGCTAGTTTAGCCATTGTGGTTCGCAAGCGTTCCGAGGTCGGCCTAGGCAAAGTCTGCTCCAGAACGTCACCACCACAAGCAGCCGCCCTTGTGTATCAGAGGAAGATTTGTTACCATGCGACTACTTTGATACCATGATGGTGGTGGATCGTAGTATGGGTTTACCCTTAGCTGGGCTTCCTGATGGAAACGCCGGACTTTTTGTCGGCTTGGGAGACCCTGGGATTAATCCTTCGCTGTACACCGCAAGTCGTCACCCAGGAACACCTACCGGCCACGACGAGGCAGTAAATCGTTAGAAAAATGGGGAACTGGTGAGCGATAACTACAAACAAAAATTTTGCAGAGGCTTTCTCGGGTTCCTTGGCAATCAATGAAAGAACACGCATGAAAGCGATCGTTAGTCACTTTCATAGAGGACCATATTCACAAACTGGTGGACACAGGAACAACTACCAGTTGTGTGACGCTTGTTGTCTCCCTATCACTCTTGGAGATAGAGGTACAAGCATAATCCTAGGTATACGATGATTCCTGGGATAGACTTACTCCTATATGATTTTTCAAAGGGAATTTCGAACTCTTCTCCAGTTCTAGTAACTCTGCTACGCACCGCAGTCCAACGAATATGACCGAATACAATTTGAATTTTAAACAAACGCTTACTAACCTATGCTGAAATTCATTAGGAAAGCTAAAAACCTTAAAACCTTGGAACCGCTGCCATGAAGATATAATTTTCTTGTACTGTCATAGCACCTAATGAACAATTATATATCGATTTACAATAATTGGTTGAAGTCCGTCTTACAGTCTTCCTTGTTTAAAACTTCTCTCATCTCAAAAAGTGGTCAACCTACCCAAATGAGCATTTCGACTAAATCGTTTCTTTGGAATTTCTGGAAATATAAGCACTTTTGACCCCATGGCTAATCGCACTTCAGCCAGACATTCGTGATCGGTTGTAACCAAAGGCAGCGACCCCACTATGAAGAGCACAGAGAATGGTCCCTATTCATATAGAGAATGTTCTTTATCTTACTGCACAAATTAGGGCTGTACTTTCCTCACACCACCTGTAGACTTCAACTTCCTCATATCACCTGTACAGTGGGTTCCACACTAGATTTCCCATATCAGCATTAGTAAGCAAGAATCTACCTGGTGAATACAGACCACGGACCAATTGAATAACAGGAATTTCTACTGCTCAACTCTTACTCGTAGCTCCTCCGAAGTTCAAAAGTAACACCTAAGGACTATAGAGCTCTCGGTTTACCCTCAACGCGACAGAAATCCACCTTCGGTAGGACTACAACTTATACTCCAACGATTACTGAATTAGCAACTGTACTACCTATCTTATCTGTCAACAATTAAGTATAACCGTTACTACAAAGAGATGGGACGGTTTTCCATAAAACACGTAGAAAAAACTTGCCAAAAGAATTCTCAACAAACGGTTTCGCGCGGTGTTGTGAACAGAATTAATAAAATACTAAAAAGAGCTGATGACGGATGCTGATGACAGCGGTAGATAAAAACTAGCCGAGAGACAGGCAAAACGAAGGCCCCACATGGTGTGGTGGAGAACGCGTTAGCTCCCGGAAAGGGTAATAGCGCGTTCGCTCCCCACCGGTGACACCAGAGGTCCGGAGTTTTGCAAATATCTCAGCATCGTTATGGTTAAGAAGAGCTTTTAAAAATGTAAACAAAAACATGCCTTTGTCGACGATGAAAAACGCTCGTTTTCCTCCATCTTTGTATGGAGAAATGATTTGAGGTCGATATTGTTTTAATAATAATACAGCTACGAACGTTTTTCCAACACCAGTACCCAGTTGAACTATGATATTACGTTTGCTTGCTTTATCGAGAAGTTCAACCTGAGGAAAAAACCGATAAACAGAAAACCAAATACATGTAATAGTTCAGCCTAAAGGAGAAAAAGGATAAAGCTTTCGTCGTTGATCGACCCCTTAGGTACGCGCCATTAATTCGACTTCAAAGGCCGTCAGAAGTGACTGAAAGCATATCTGGCCTTCATAATGACTCGCCGTGGCCTACTGATGTAACAAGTCAGTGCTGCCATCTTCCCAGAGAAAGCTGGTAACTTGGTCGCCCAAAGAAAGTTCCACTGAGGAAAAGCCTGCTTCCGGGAACTATTCTCATTGTTCTTGCTGGGCGCCATAGAGGGAAACCCGTTTGTTTTCTTAGAAACGCACAAATCTGGTCACCATCTTGTAGCACGACTTTGGCAATTTGAGGCGCCTTGCAATACACATGTGATCGATTCCCGGACCCCAGGCTCATCAAGTGTTTCATCCCTCCGGGGTCAGAAAATTGGTACCAGACTTGCGTGGAAGGATAGCCGTACTGGCTAGATACATCGCCAGGCCACCGTGAGTCATTGTAAAAGCCAGATATGCATTCAATCAGCTTCAGCGATGCTTAATGAAGTCGAATGCATGGCGCATCCCTCAGGGATTGATCAACGCCAAGAGCTTCATACTTTTACACTTTCACCACACACAGGAAATGTGGATCCCCAAAGGTATCAAATTACCTCATGCTAACTGGTATTACTTATGAGTTTCTCAATTTGAGGATCCCGGGTGATACAGGGCTTGGTGACCCTGAGATTAGGCGTGCATTGCACAGCACCTCTAATCACTGCGCTACACGGGTCCTAATCCTCCATGAACGGATGCAAAAATCTCCTTATGTCTTATTCACCTGGTAAGGTCTTGGTGTAAAGCAGCTGACTTCGACATCCTTTTCGGTATCATGGCAATAACGAGTCATGAGGATTAACGTCGAAGCAATCCTGACATAAAAAATAAATTGGTAAATACGAATTACGACAAAACATTTTAAATTTAGCAGAACAGACAGAACGTGTCCTGAACCAACCACGTGAACCAGGAGCCGTTTCAAGCCGAATTTTGAAGCTCACAAGTCCATACTTAAAGGACGCGCTGATTTTAAAACAGGGGTCCTAACACGCACAACATTGAATACTCAGCTAAAAGTTAGCTCTCTTGTGGAAGTCGTCTGTTTACTTGTTATTCTCGCACTTTTCTTGTAATGCATAGAGCTGTTTGTACTACATAGAGGTCTCTTGTAGCTCACAGAAGTCTCTTGAACTACATGGGAATCTCATTAAAGTCCATTATCTATGTTGCACTTTTGTATTCTTTTCCTTCGACGATTTCGGGTTTGATGTGAAATATAACCACTGTTGCTGAGGTGTTTGCAAAACTTGGACCTTAGGCCAAAATCGGAGCATGACAAGGGTTTTAATGCTGCAGTGGGGAAGACGTGAGTCCCCGGAAAGAATGATCGCAGGTTCGATTCTATCGTGGGATCCAAATTTTGCAGATACCTCAGCATCAAATGGATTATGTTTAATATGATACCGTACCGTGAAGAACAGTAAGCAGAAAATCAAAAGTTGGAGGTGTCGGGTTCGATTTTTTGTCTTTCTTTTCACGTTGATGAAAAATACCGATACTCTTGAGAAGAGATCTGCGTAAGAACTGCGGAAGTTTCAGTTCTTGTCTGTAGATTTCTGTTCCTAAAGGCATTCGTAGTGCTTTCATTTAGTTCTGCTTTGTTCCGTAGGTCTTTTAGTTCTTGCTTCAAAATGCATATTCATTCATGGCTTTTGACAGAAGTGTAGCTGCTTTTGCCGTGCAGAAGAGAGTTTATTGTAGGTACTTCATTGTTTCACTTAAGTGCACTTGAGAAGTTCGAGGTCTCACAGTGAGGATCTTGTTTTGAGATGAGAGGAAGTCGTTTGAGGAGTCGTTCTATACTTCTGTAAATCGGCGTTCATTTTAATCCCATTAATTTCGTTTTATATGCAGAGATCAGATGGTGAGTAGAAAGACCGTGCTTAAATTCGGTCGTAATTTCGACCTCTCACCTGGGGTTTCGCGGTTCTCGGCAGCTAGGATGCACCTAAAACGTGGAGCCAAGAAGCCAGTTGTGACGAAATCTCGAAAGGTTTGATATGCTCTCTTCCTGAAGAGGTCTTTATGAGTCTTACATCTTCTACATTCTCTTTTCATTTGAATCTACGAGACTGTAGAGTCTCTCCTATTCGTCTATGAATGTGGAGTGCTGAAATGTTCTCGAACATCGTTTGAGACATATTTATGCGAGTAGACCTTGCTCTAACCTCGTCTACTCCACCTCCATGTCTTACAAATTGCTTTTAAAGTTGTATTTTGCCTTTCGTTATCTCCAGAAACTAGCCCGTCCAGCCAGTGTTTTTTAAGCTACTTCTACTTCCACTTCAACGAAGGGAGCCAAAGTTTAAACTTGGTCATCCAAAGAAGGTCTCACTGAGGAGAAGTCTGGTTCCGGGAACCGTTCTCATCGTTCTTGCTGGACGCCATAAAGGAAAACGTGTTGTTTTCTTGAAACAGTTGAAGAAATCTGGTCTTCTTCTTGTTACTGGTACGTTCTTGTTGATTTACTTTTGTAAATTCGGAATGTGTAGTTAACTTTGTAGATTTTTTATGTTGGCATATATGCATCCCCATAGATATCAAATTATCTCATGCTAACTCCTATCTTTTATAAGTTTTTCAATTATGTAGTGGTTGCACTTTGGACTAGTCAGGTCTTCATTCCCCCACTTCTGCAATTAGAGCTGCCTGTTGTACTCACTTTCGCGAGAATCATGAGTGTAGCATGACGCATTGCGCATGAGACTTTTAGTTCTTATTGTTTTTGAGGAAAAGATACGGTCGGTTCTCACGCAGCACTCTGCTGTGAAGTGGAAAGCTTGGTTATATTTCCAAGTACTAATGTCTTCTGTCGTGTTGTACAGTGATCGGAGACGCCTTACAATACACGAGGTCGATCCTCGCGCTTAAGCCTCACCAAAGCTTCTTTCCCTTTGATGTAGGCAAATTGGTACCAGATTTGTCTGGGAGGATTGCCGCACTGGCTAGTTGCATTCTTAGGCTACCACTAGTCATTGTGAAGGCCAGATATGCATTCAATTAGTTCTAGCGTTGCCTAATGAAGTCGGATGCCTGGCCCATCCCTAAGCGCTTGATCATCACCGACAGCTTTATCCTTTATTTTTTTAATACCCTGTGCCAAGTTGAATTCATGGATACAGTCCGTGTGCATGTAGGCAAATGTGCGCATATGTGAATAAATACGTGAATTCACATGCATATGAGAGAGTACGCGGTCGCTTTTGGTAACATTTTGGTGTCGTGTAACCTGTCGGCTAACGGTGTATTATTTGCTTGCGGAAAAAATTATTCAATTTCTGTTTTGTTGGCCCTTTTTCTTTTGCGAGCATATTTGAAAAAATGTATGTTGTAATATCGTCAGGTCCTCATAAGTTGAACAATTTCCCTCTGCGGAGAATAGCACAAGCTTTCGTCATCGCTACCAAAACGAAGATTGATGTTTCTGCTGTCAACGTCCCAGAGCACATCAATGATGATTATTTCAAGCGAAAGACGCTATCAGGGAAGAAGGGACAGAACATTTTTACCACAGGAAAGGTTGAATACCAGGTTCGTTTGCCCGATTTCCATTAAAGTGCGCTATTTTTACACTTTTTGAAAATATGAGGTTCTTTTTTCTTTTGCGTATGTGTGCACATATACGTACACATATGTACGTATGTATATGCATGCGTATACATATATGCATGTATGTATGTGTGTACGTGCATATTTACGCGTATATACACTTGTATACACATGTATATATATTTGATAAGAATTTGTTTACTTGTCTCGGATCCTGAAGTTCCATTCTTTCTAATGTTTTCTTTCAAGAATTGCAAATACTTACATGTTTTACTTGTCTTTACTCAACTGTTCTGCTTTTAGGTTACAGAACAAAGAAAAACTGACCAAAAGGCCATCGACAAACCCATTTTGGATGCTATTAAGAAGCATCCTGAGCACAAATTCCTCTTCGGTTATTTGGGGTCACGTTTCATGTTGGGAAAGAGAGATTACCCACACAACATGGTCTTCTAATTTTGTTGCGCTGAATAAATTGTTTGTCATTTTCCATTAAACGTTTGTTTTCCACATGTAGTCCGTGAATGAGTTGTAATCCTGTTACATTGCGTCATCGATCTTTCTTTATCTTCATTTTTCTAAAGTTCCGACGAGCAGTTAGTAGACTTCAAAAAACTCGTTTCTATATCTCTTTTTTCAACAACATTTTCATTCTGGGTAGCCTTTACTAGTTGGAATCAAATCGATTAAAACCCAACTTAAGCCTAAAACCAAGACGTACTAGCCAACAACATACTAAGAATCTGGCTGTTCCAACATGGACGGACAGATTTCAGACTTCTATGATCAGTATTAATGTCCTTAAGAGATTTTGAGCAGCGATAGGACCGTTCTGATTTTTTCATAACATACAGTTCCTATGAAGTAAGTAAAACAGAAATGAAGACCTTTTTGTGTGCTCCATAGTTAAAAGGAGATCCAGTGAAACATTTTGGGACATAGTGCTCTTACCAATTTGTAAGCAACTACAGCTATGGTATGCTAGTTCTGATTGCTTCGATTTTATGCTATGGATGCTTATTGTTTACTCTTAGCAAAAGTATTCACTTGGATTAACATTCATTACTACAAATGTCATATATAAGTTGACTAAACAGCGACGGACGTATGTGGACTCAGTAAAATGAAGATTGAACACTTGTATGGCGTACTTGAAGAACGTATGTATAAGAGATTGTTGTCTGCAACTGCGAGGCTTTTTGCTTCAATGGTTGATTTAAGTTTAGGTAGAAAATCTCTTAATACTTATGATGGAAATGAAGGAAACAAGAGGCAAACCGAGGCAAGTAGACCGCCACTGGAGATACCACAAAAAGTACAGAATTCGTAGTAACGGTTGCTCGTCAAAAAAAAGATCAGCATTCCAACAGCATTTGGGTGGGGTTTCGATGCATCTGGTTGGTACAAAAGTAGATGCTGGATATTCCTGCTCGTTTTGCTCAGTTTTGATGAAGAAATATTACTATCGGCAGGATCAAAAGTGATTACTCTAGGATAGCTGGACGCCAGGAAAGTGGGAGTTCTAAGGTGGTCAGACGATTTTCAGTGGATAGGGTGGGCAACCACTTTCATCCTCAATTATAACACTCGCTCGAGCCATTTCATCAGGAAAGGTGATAGCTGAATCCATCAGTATTGTCAGCGGTAACGTTACAGTAAGCGTGAGGTTTGATTCCAATGCATATGCGGCTGTACTTCGTTTTTTCTTCCTGTATTATGCATCAAACTCAATGCGTACCAATGACGTAGGTGTGTGCAGCGACGAGTCCCACTTTTTGCGAACGCCGCTCTATAGTTCGGTCTCTATAGTTCTATTTTTTGATTCACTTCTGTGGTTTTTGCGCTTTTTTCTCTATATTGTTCTATTTCTTTCCCCAACCTTTTCAGGAACACAGCTAACTTTTGTGTATCAAGCTCCACCTGTGTAGAACTCAATGAGTTATCACCTTAATGTAACGATTAATTGTCCAAAGTTTCTATCTATTCATTCAATTAGACTTATTCACTATTCACTTCCCGGGACTTATTCAATTCATTAGAGATCTCCACGGATCTCCCTCATATGAGGGATCTCGAGCCGATTAGCCACGAGGCTACGTGGTGCGTCCCCAGGTGGCGGATAGGGGTTTAATCGCGGACGCGGACCAAACGCGACCTTTGCTTCCCTGAGACGCAGGTGGATCCAGGATACGGACTCCCTGTTTCTGCTGCGCTGATTTGGCACATAGTTTCTGCGTTTACGAGGCGTATTCATGCATGCGTGTGTGGGTGTGTCGTAGTTTATACCCATTGTATTCTATGTGTCATTTCGGCCAAAAATCTGCAATCAAGTGACTGGGAAGTATATAGCAGACGGTTAGGAGTCGCCTTCAACAAATAAGCCCCATGTCCACTCTGGGAGAGCCTGGCAAGCTACCCGTCAGTATACCCAGCCCCGCGTTCAGAGCCTAGCAAGCTATGCGTGGGTATCAAAATGCTAAACACAGTAAAAAAAAAAGCGGGCCTCATTCCTCTGACCCCGAAAGAGCGCCAATTTCGCAGCGCTGGGGATAGGACGGGTACGAAGAGGCTGCTAAAATTTAAGAGCCAATGGAAGCTATCTGGATTTCAAAGAACTATGGTGATGATCTGTACTTAAATGCACGTATACTTGCATCCGAGTCATCGATAGAAGAGTTGCTCATGAAAGTAAGAACGATAAAGTACGGCGTCATCGGCCTGACCGAGACGAAACGACGCCACCCATTTAACGCCGTGTATGACACCGGGGAAGAATTTTTCCTCGGAAAATGCGACAGCAGAGGAGTCTGCGTCGTCGGCCTTCTCGTCAACACGAGTTTCTCCATGGACATAAATTAACTCGAACAGCTTACAACCCGAATTGGAGTTTACGTTTAAAAAGATGTGGATCAATGCCGACTCTGACAACCCTCGTCGTTTACGCATCGACATCAAACTATGACGAAGAAGAAGTCGAAGCGTTCTATATGGACTTGGAGAAGTTCTACAGAGAAGAACATACATTCTTCAAGGTCATCATTGGAGATTTCAACGCCAAGATTGGACCAAGAAAAACATCTAGAGAACGTCAAATTGGGTCCTATGGATTAAAATGGAACGAATAGGGTGGACGGCTATCTGGGTTTATCATGATCGTCAAGAACAATTGTAGCAACTAGAAATTCCGGAACCCTCACCCTCAACGCTGGACGTGGGGGTTTCCTAATGGGAACTACCATAACGAAGCAGGCAACGTTGTAAATCGAATGTTTCGCCTAACTGATGTCGCTGTTGTCCCAAAATTCTGCACAGGATCAGACCATCGTCTCCTTCGTGCCAGATTCTGTTTCTCGAGGAAACGAGAAAAAGCCGCTAAATTCCAAAAGCGAAGTCCCAGAGCCGCCGTAAATTTGGATTTATTCAATTCATTAGTCGGCTGTTGGGAAGATGCCGTTGTCGATAACTTCGACGAAGAATACGATCGGCTCATTCAATATCTTCACGTTAGCACTATGAAACCTTAGAGTTCGAAAGTCACCAAGAGGTGTTTACCTCCAGAAACACTCGACCTGATACGCCAGCGTGGAATCGCACAAGCTGCAGGCAACCGCGAACTAGCGGCCGAACTTGTAAAACAATGCAGATAGGCGATGAAAGAAGGTCTTCAAGAGAGAAGAGCAGCAGTAATCGTCGATGTTAGAGAGGCTAGGAAAGCATTCGGAAAGCCCACCGAAGCTTCGCCAATTACAAGACCAAGGTGATTTCATTCCGTTGCCCACACGAACCAGTTACAGTGTCCAGAAAGGCAATGGAGAAAATCATTCACGAATACTACTCAGATCTCTTCGATAGCCATGTCCACCTTCCGTCATATGAAATAAAGCAGAATGGATACGTTGCACCATCGATTCTCCCTTCCCAAATCCGACATGCCATTTCGTCGGTGAAAGATCGAACAGCACCAGGACCGAATAGGATAAGACCAGAACACCTAAAGAACCTTCCGCCAGTTCTCACAAACACACTGGCTTGGCTCTTCACACGTTACCTACCTGAATGCAAGGTCTCCCATACTCAGTGGAAGACCAGCAAGACCGTATTATTGTTCAAGAAGTGTGACCTTCACGATTTCGGCAACTATTGCCAATCTGCTTGCTGTCTGTCGTCTACAAACTTTTCACTCGAATCATCCTAAACAGGATTGACAGGACATTGGACGAAGGACAGCCATGTGAGCAAGCGGAGTTTCATAAAGGGTTTAGTACGATGGACCACATTGACACGGTAACAAGGCTCATTGAGGTATCGCGAGAGTACAAAAGACCGCTCTGTCTGACATTCATCGATTTACAGGCCTTTGTTTCAGTTGAGATAGAAGCAGTCTTGGAATCCCTTGACAGTCAAGGAGGCCCTACTCAGTACATAAAGATTCTACCTGAGCTGTACAAAACTTCACAACCAAGTTATCACCATTTTACAACGAAATTAACATTGACGTCAAAATCAACATTAGCCAAGCGGAACGTATGCTTGACGATTTTGATAAAGCCTGTGGAAAGATTGGTCTCCGACTAAACCTCACAAGAACGATGTTCATGAAGAACGGATCGGTTTCTGTACGCCAAGCAGTCGAAGATAAGGTGGGCTGTACAGGTAGTGCGTATGAATGACAGCCGATGGGCAAGAGCTGTTAGTGACTGGATTCCCTGGGATGTCAAGCGCACAGCAGGAAGACAACAAACCCGATAGTCAGAGTTCTTCACGAAGAGCCTAGAAGAAAGATATGATGTTCGACGAACCACTGGAGCGAGCAGAACCCACTGGGCTACTCGTGCACTTGACAGGGAAATATGGAAGATTTACTGCCGCCCGCTCGAGTCACTCGATGATTAACGGGATTTCTTTTGTGGGGCCGATAGCACCGTGGTAGTGACGTCCGTCATCACAAGCATAGTACTAGTTCGATTCAACTTCGGGCCAACGAAGCCTCTCGTCCCACCGTGGTCGGAAAGTTGATACCGGACTTATCAGGGAAATTCACTTTCTGCAATCCATTTGGCAGTGCTCCAGCTCGGCTATCTCAGGACTACAGGCAGAATGAAGAAGGAGAAGAAGAAGAAGAAGAAACTACAGGAAGAACTGCTCGACTAGCATTCTACGAGACTCAAGATGAAATGGAAATCCTGAAGTAGCTACCGAAGCCACACGTAAAGCTGGAAGATCTTCCTAGACAATGGATTCGAGCAAAAGAATCGAAGGTGAGAAGTGCTGTGATGCGCACAGTAGAAGTGATGACGGATCAGTTGAAATAAAATGAAGTAAAATATTTTTTGTTTAAAAAATAAAAAAAATTCTTGAGTATATCATATTACAGTTATTGTGTTTCACATAATACTCTGTCGTAAAGACAGTGAAATCTTGAAGCTGTAGAAGAAATCGCAACGTAATCACTTTTT